TGGTTTTAGGTCCTCCCAAAATTTCCAAACTAAAATTGCAGAGTCAGGAGACAAGAATGAAAGAATGGAAGGAGAAAGGACTAAATGGTAGCAGAGACTCTGTCAAACAAACACTTCAATTCCTGTCTGAAGCAAGTAAGTGGACCTCCACAACCAGCCCAGACCACCAGCCACAGCAAAAGGGAAGTTTAGGCAGCAGGAAGAGTTCACCAGCAGCTATAAAGAAGGGAGCACAGAGGACTAGACACAAAGTGCCTGTACTCGTCTGGTACGAGTACAACCATACCGCCAGTGAAAGTCGGTTGTCTTTGGGATCTCACAGTGGATCACTAAACTGACACAAAACACAGCTTTTACCTCAAGGTAAAAAAATAAGTTTGGGGCTGGAGCCATAGCTCAGCAGATAAGAACACTAATTGCTCTTCCAGAGGTCTTGAGTTCAGTTCCCTTCCCAGCAACCACGTGGTGGCTCACAACCATTTAGAATGAGATCTGGTGCCCTCTTCTGGAGTGCAAGCACACATGCAGGCAGAACACTATGCATAATATATAAACGTAGCCAAGTATGGTGGTGCATGCCTATAATCCAGCACTCAAGAGGCAAAGGCAGGTGAATCTCTTTGAGTTCCAGGTCAGCCCGATCTACAGAGCGAGTTCCAGGAGAGCCAGAGCAATTCACAGAGAAACCTGTCTCAGAAAAACAAAAAACAGCCAAGTATGGTGGCCCATGCCTGGACTCTCAGTAGTGGGAGGTAGAGAAAAGGAGGATCTCAAGTTTGTAACCAGCCTGAACTACAAAAGTGAAACTCTTATCTTTAAAAATGTTTTTAAAAAGAAGTCTTTTAAAACCTAATAAACTAAAGAAAATCTACAGGAAAGATTTCTCTATGATAAGAAGAAAAAAAAAAGCCAAATAAAAACCTGAGAAACAAAATTCCCACTTTGTAGCGGAGAGACTGTTGCTTGACCCCATAACTGTGGTGCCTTATTTAAACAATTACAGATCAGCCCTGATGGCACTGTGCCAAGTCACCAATCTCAGAACAAAGAGAATTTTAAGGTTTACTAGCTCCAGATAGTACGATGTTCACTAAAATCTATTCAAACACACACAGTATTTGTATCCCAGGCTGCTCTGGAATTTGCTATAGAGACCAGGTTGACCTCGAATTTAAGATACACCTGCCATTTATCTCTAGTACTGGGATTAAGCATTCACCTCCAAGCCCAACCAGATAACTTCTCCAAATTACTACAAAGGAAGCCACTCCCTCCCTCCAAGAGGTGTGATGCAATTCATATCTCGGTCTCAACATCTCAATCTCTCTTCTGTCGTCTGTCTCTTCCTCTTCCTCACTCTCATTTTGCCAGCTGTGTTTCTATTCACATTATCTCTATCAAAATTTACGTCAGTTCTGGTGTGGTAAATGTTTACCCCATACCCTGGGTTGTCGCCATTACTGCTACAACATTTTGCTGTAACCTCCCTACATGATGTCCTCACTAATATGTTTGGTGCTTATCTTGATTTATGACTCCTTTCTTCTATGACTACAGAATGGTTATGTGATCACTTTCATGGTGGAACATGTCATTTCAGGCATCTTCAATCTATTCCTGGGCCACAGTCATGTGGGTAGGACGCGAGGAGAGCCTGTTGGCCTAGAATGATTTTGGGTGGGAGGGCAATAAGGCAACCTTTGTTTTCAAAGCATCTCCTAGCCTCCATCTTATGTCTGTACACAATTGGGTGTGCCTATAATTAAAATCTGATGCACTAGGAATAGGATAGTAAGCAAGGATCTATATTATCTAAGCATGTTAATCAAAGCAAAGAAACCACCCAAAATACACTCCTTAGCAACCAAACTCCTCCTCCCTTGCGTACCCTCCGTCATTGGGCCCACTGTCAGTCTTGGTGACTATTTCATTCTGTTCTCTTCCATTGTTTTGAGTAAAGTCCTTGCTGCACTGCCGCATTTATTTCAGTTCTTTGACTAAGAAGCCAAAAGCCTGGAAACATCCAAACCAGACTCTGACACCAGTAACATATACTTAGCCTTTGCTGGCCTAGGAATCCTTAATGTTAACCAGACTGGTTTTAAGACAGCAATCTTCCTGCCTTTGGCTCCAAGAAATTGAAATCACAGGAGCAAACCACTAAGTAGCTTGGCTGATCTGAAAAACAGTCGGTGGCCCTGTCTAATCTCAAATTCTAACAATCCTCTTACGTCAGACTCCTCTGAGTGCTAGGATACTGGTGTGTGCCACTAAACCCAAGTAAGTGTAAAACATTTCTTTTGTTGTCGTTTTGATATTTAGAGACAGTCTCACTATGTAACTCTGGCTATCTTGGAACTTACCATGTAGACCGTGTTGGCTTTGAACTCAGATCCACTTATCTCGGATTCCTGAGTGCTGGAATTATAGCTGTGTGCTAAGTGTAAATAATTCTACAGTAGGCTATAAAGGAGTAGGGCACTGATGTTGCCAAAAAGTTAACTCTTCCTCCTCCAGCAACTACAGCCTCCCTCCACCTCCAAGAGAGATTTAAGTATTTGAATGCTAATGAAAGAATTCAGGGAGCACCTAGGAGCCCCAGAGAATGGAATGTTAATCCAAGAGTCCTAGAGTAGGCGTCAAGGAGTTCTAGCCTGAAGAGAAAATAAGGGAGTGAAAGGGAATTCAGATGCTCGATTTGCAAATTTTACTACTGGGAAATTGGGGAGATCCTGTCTTTGTTTGAAGGAGACCTAGTAGTATAAAAGTGAGCAGTGGTTAGGTTTGATAATGAAATCTGATTGGGTACATAGTGAAGTATTCATATAAGAAAAGGTTTCTGAGACATTTTGTGAAGGTAGAGAAATATAACTTGTAATATTTTAGAAGAAAAATTCCAATGTCACAGCTGGGATATCTATCTCCTGTGATATTCCCTCTTACCAACTCTGCTTGTCATTAGCCGTCTTTAAAAAAATGATTTATGAGTGTGTGGGTGGTCTTTATGGATAGCCAAGGAGGCCAGAAGAGGGCATTAGTCCCCTGGAACTAGAGGCAGCCATAGACGTGCATGCTGGGAAAGACCCTCAGGTGCTCTGCAGGAGCCATAGCTGCTCCTAACTGCTGAGCCATTTCTCTAGCTACCGCATTAGCCTTTGTGGTACTCAAAAAAACACTGCCTGAGCTATTTCTGCCTTGGTGTTTTTGAAAAGTTGTAGTTTCTGTCAAAGTTATTCTTTCCCTGGACTGATTAGGCTTTTTGACATTTTGTGTCATTTTTTTTTTTCTCTCCTGACATCCATTTACCCAATCTAAAAGAACCACTCACTCTCCCACTAACCTTTTCTGTCCCCAGTTCTGGAATTTAAGTAACCTATGTGTAAAGATTTAGCAGCTCTAGTTTGTTGCTGTACCATCTCTGTAGCACTGGAGCATTTACACCAAGGCCCTAGGAAGTGGGTGACGCTGTTTTTCTTAGCCATTGTTCGGATCTGGCCTGCACAACAGCAAAGATGACTCAGGAAATGAATGTCGCAACACACTTACTAATAGTGCGGGGCCAAGCGTGGATGTCTGTCCTTTGAGAACCAGATGATTTTGCATCGTGCTCCATCTCTTGTTTGTGGGCAAATCAAACTACTCTTCCTGAAGAATTAGGAGGGACGTTATGGTCAAGGCATGGTAGCATATATTGGCACTTGGGAGGCAGAGGCAGATGGGTCTATTGAGTTCAGGGTCAGCATAATCTAGGTAGCAAGTTCCAGGCCAGCTAAGGCTGCACAATGAGACCTTGTCTCAAATACATATATACATAATCTGGCTTGTAAAAAGAGGATTCTGAAGATGGTTATTTTGTATTGTAAAATCTTTTTCTTATTTTTTTATATTTTACATTTTTATTTAGTGTACTTGTTTAGAGGTGTGGGGATAGGCTTATAAATGCCACTTGGCAGGCAGAAGGTGGTGGGGCACACCTTTAATTCCAGCACTTGCAAGGCAGAAGCAGACGGACCTCTGAGTTTGGGGCCAGCCTGGTCTATAGAGTTAGTTTCAGGACAGCTAGGGCTGTTACACAGAGAAATCCTGTCTCGAAAAACAACAACAACCAACCAAACAAAAAAAAAAAAAAAAAAGGGATTGCAGAAAAGGAGTTGGAACCCAAGCAAAAAACAGCCATGAGAAAAACACTTCAAAGCCCATTTTTATTAGTGCTCCATTTAGTTTCTGGATATATTTTTAAAAAAGTTTCATATCCCTCAGGGTGTCTTTGAACTAGCTAGTGACCAAGCTGCCTGGGCCTGCCCTGAGCGAGATGGCAGGAATGCCTCACCAAGCCAGTTTATGCGGTGCTGAGGCTAACCCAAGGCTCTGCGTGAACTAGGCAAGCCTTATACCAACTGAGCTACACCTCCAGCCCATTTCAGAATCTTGCTTTTCTGTCACTTTATCACTCATTGCCTTTATCTTATCCTAAATTAGCCATAATCTCGATTTCTTATCCCTTCTTACAAACCAACTACCCTCAGAGTTATTTGGGAATAAATTTTACAAAAAAAAAAAATGTGAATTTCAACTGTGCAGGGGAACCTGCGAGTTTGGCAGTTTTTGACATCCTAACCTCGACCTGCATTTCAGTTTTCGTACCGAAAGGACCAGAGATTGGGGGTATTCAATCACGTCAGTGTGTGTGGAAAGGTCTCGCACACCGAGGAACAATTCGGAACCATGACTAAATAAAATTGTCTCTCTGGCCTCCTGCGCTCTGCGGACTCTCCACCATCACGGGAGAAGCTCGAGGCAGGCACCTGCAACATCCACTCTCCATGAGATTCTGGTCCAGGTAAAAGGTTAACGCGTCCCTACAGCGGAGACAGAGCTCGCAAAGACCAATTGCTCTAAATCTCGTGAGTAGAGGTCCGAAGTGGGCGGGGAGGCGGAAGTCTCGCGAGATGCCGGAGTTTTCCCGCGAAGGAGAAGCGCGCGGTTTTTCTCCCGCCGGGGCTTGAGGAAGCGCTCTGGGCGTGTTGTGCTGTGAGGAGTTAGCGCGCGGCTGTGGAGGCGCTCGGAGGAGGCGACCGGGTGCCCGGCGGCTATCCAGCCATGCCTGCGGAGCAGCCCGCGAGCAGCAGCGGTGAGTCGGCGGCGCTCGTCGGAGAGGGAGCCAGCGGGGGCCGGGGCTGAGGGGGAAGGAGGCGAGCGCCTGCGGGGCGACACGGAAGGGTTGCCAGTCTCCCGTGCACCCTCCTTCGGGACCTGGGGCCGGGCAGATGGGCACCGTCACCCAGACGCTTCGATGTTGCTTGCAATGCACCGGGGAAGGGAGTAGGGTCGTGACCTTCGGAGTTGAGAAGTCGTAACTTCGACCACGTTCTCAAAGCCCCCCATCCCTCGTCCCCTTAGGGTCCGTAGCCCCAGAAATGGCTGAGCCGACGGAACCTGCACTGATTACCCCAGCCATGCTGGAGGAGGAGGAGCAGCTCGAGGCTGCGGGACTTGAAAGGGAGCGGAAGATGTTGGAAGAGGTAATGCCCCGTGACCCGGGGTTCTCCCCCGGGCGTTCCTTCACCGCTGGCTTGGTCTTTCCGTGAACTTCAGGGCTGCCTGGTCCCTTATCTTTTTCGTACGTGTGAAGATGGAAATCTTGGCTTGCGCTTTGGGTGATAGGTTTCTGAGATGTGGTTTTGGTGCGGGCGCAGGCGTGGGGGGAGTGGTCGGAACGTAACTTGAGTGAACGTTTCAGATTGCCTTGATTAAGATTCATTCAGTGTCACTGGTGAATGCTTTCCTTTGCCATCTTTATTTGCTTTTTAAATATGTCCCTTCACTCTATGCTTGATGGCCAAAATTAATCTTTAACACCTAGAGTCATACTGTAGTAGACAGAGACAGATGGAGTCGATGTTGGCATCAATCAAAGGCTGGGCTGAAATCCAGGTCTACTGATTTCCTCCTCTTTTTTTTTTTTCTTTTTCCCTGTTTTGTTTGTTTTGGGGACAGGTTTCCAGGCTGGCCACCAAACCTCAGGATCCCCCTGCCTAGCTTCCCAGAACTGGAATTACTCGAGTGTGCTACCAAGCCTCGGTCCTAATGATTTCTTTGCAGTTAATTACTTAACTTAGTTTTGCTACCTAAATGATCAACTTGTTTTAGTTTTCTACAGATAAAGTTCTTTAGCTAAAATTGAGATGTGTATATTCACGACAAGTTAGAGTATTTGTAATTTCTGTAAATAGAATCTTTTTTTTTTCTTTCTGGTTTTTCGAGACAGGGCTTCTCTGTAGCTTTGGTGCCTGTCCTGGAACTAGCTCTTATAGACCAGGCTGGCCTCGAACTCACAGAGATCCGCCTGCTTCTGCCTCCCGAGTGCTGGGATTAAAGGCGTGTGCCACCACCGCCCGGCAGCTTTGAACATTTGGAAGGTTTAGTTTTGTTTAGTATGTTTACTATGAAGTCCTACCCTGCTGTTTAATTTGAGAGAGCAAGAAAAAGAGAGATACAACCCCGGGTAATTCTTAAATCCTTAGTTCTTTCCTTGCCTTTATTTCAGCCTTTCAGTAAAATATGACTTCTCTTTGGGGCTTTTGATTTTGCTTTTGTAGCCCAGGCTGGACTGGAACTCAATGCTTTTGTCTGAGCCTCCCGAGTATTGGAATTATAGGCCTGTGCCACCTTGTCTTGCTCATAATCTTTTTTAAAAAACATCTTTTCTTTATTATTTTGAAACATTTATTCATGTGTGGGTGGGTGGAAGGGTATGGTTTGCCTGCAGATGTCTTGGAGCTAGGGTTAGCAGGTTGTGAGCCACCTGACACGACATGGGTGCCGGATCCGAACTTGGAACCTCTCTGCAAGTGTACTTGCAATTTCACTTGCTGAGCCGTCTCCAGCCCGGATTCATTTTACAAATGAACAAACTGAGCCATTTGATAAAAAAACAGCTGTTGAAGTCACATTTGAACTCATATCCTGAGTTCCCTTGTTTATCACCTGTGCCCTTTCTTGAAAGGACATATACCTTAAATGGAAAACTACTGAATTTGGAAGATAATCCATCCTGAAACAAGTGATGTGTCACATGGTTCATATTAATTATTTTATATGTGTGTGTGTGTGGCACATGGAGGATGGATGGAAGTTGATGTCAGGTGTCTTTCATTCTTCATTTAAATAAAAATAATTGATGTGCATGGCACATGTGTGGTAGTCAGGATAGCCTTATATAAGAGTCAGGTCTCTTTCCATCCATCTCTATGTGGGTTCCAGGGATTGAACACAGGTTGTCAGGCTTGAATGGTAAGGGCCTTTAGAACCCTGAACCACTGATCCATCGCCCTGCATGCTGCTTGTTTTTGAGACAGAATCTCAATGAACATCATTTCACCTATTCAGCTAGATTGGGCAGGGAGCCCCAGGGATCCCTGTGTCTACATCTTTTACAGTGCTGGGAATGCTAACATCTCTATGCTCACTTTCATGGGGTTCTGGGAGTCCTAACTGAGGTCCTCATAGTTTTATGGTAAGCACTTGGTCAACTAAGCCAGCTCCCTACCCCCCTGCCAGTCAGCATTCTTAACTCCCTCTGGGTAGAGATTGGAACATACCATATATTTCTAGTTAGCCTCAAACTAGAGTCTCTAGCATTGTTAAACCTTAATGAATATTTTTTTTTAATTATTTAACTTTATTTCATGTGCATTCAGATTCTCTGAAACTATTTATGGGCAGTTGTGAAAAACCCATGTGGGTTCTGGGAATTGAACCCTGGTCCTCTGGAAGAGCAGCCAGTGCTTTTAACCACTGAGTTGTCTGGCCCCATTAATGAAGATTTATTAAGAGTAGGATCACACTAGGCTGTATGCCTGTAATCCCAGCACTTGGAATGTGGAGGTGAGGCGCGAGGATCAGATGTTCAAGGTCATCCCCTACATGGGTCATTTTCAGCTATGTAGCTACAGAGGGAGTTGGGGGGGGCGGTTTTATTATGAGATCCTGTCTTAAAATGTTGGGGGGCTGGAGAGATGGCTCAGTGGTTAAGAGCACTGACTGCTTTTCCAGAGAACCCAGGTTCAATTCCCAGCACCCACATGGCAGCTCACAACTGTCTGACGATCCAGTTCCAGGGGATCTGACACCTTCACACCAATGCACCTAAGATAAAATTAAATAAACCATAAAAAAATGTTTAAAAAAATGTCAGGTGTAGTACACCTAAAAATTAACCACAACACTTGGGAGAGCAAGGCAGGAGAATTGGCGCAAGTTTGAGACTATCTTAGGCTACAAAACAAGACTGTTTATCAAAAAAACGGGGGCTAGAGACATCCTCAGCTCTTAAGAGCGCTATTTACACTTTCAGATAGATGATCCAGGATTGGTTCACAGTACTCACATGATGACTTACAACCATCTATAAGTCCAGTTCTAGGTGCTCCAACATCCTCTTCAGAATAACAGCACAGGTACCAGGCACATGTGTTGTACACACACACATATATATACATACATACATACATACACACACACACACACACACACACTCCAAAAAATAAATCTTAAAAAAGTCATCATGGTGGTGCATGCATGTCTTTATTCTCGGGACTGGGGATGCAGAAACGGGTGTGAGTTAGAGTAGAGCCTGGTTTAACATTAAGTTTTAGATCAGCCAGGATGACAGTAAGACAGTCTCAAGGTTTTATGTTCAATGTTTTACTCATTGAGTCCTCAACTATTTTATAAAGTGGATAGTTGTTTCTAATTAGATTTCTAAAATTATAAAGCTTGGGAGTGGGCCATTACTCTTGTAAAACGGTTCTGAGTTTGTGTCCAGAACCTATGTTGGGTGGCTTACAATTGCCTAGAATTCCAGCTCCTGGGGATCTGACATATCTGGCATCCATGCATACCTCCAGTCTTTTCAGAGACACACACTTGATTCCCAGCCCTCACATGGTGACTCACAATCTGCTGTAACTACAGTTCCAGGGGATCCAGTGCCCTTCTCTACACCAAGCATACAAGTGTCACCAAAATGATACATGTAGATGAAAGCATCTCATACATACTCAATAGATAAAAGTAATACAAAAAGTAGAGGTTTGTAATTCAAAAGTGTATGTGACTTGAAAGCAATGATCTAGCTGTGTAATCCCAGTACGTGGGAGGTAGAGGCAAGAGAATCTATTCAAGGTCATCTGTTAGCTTAGTAGATTTGAGGTCAGCCTGGGCTGTTAAAATGAAAGATTAAGTATACAGGCAAACCTCTGGGGAACTCAATGCTGTCAAGAGGTAATGAGACGTAAAAGCATGTTGAATTTTTTTTTTTTTTTTTTCGAGATAGGGTTTCTCTGTGGCTTTGGTTCCTGTCCTGGAACTCCCTTTGTAGACCAGGCTGGCCTCAAACTCACAGAGATCTGCCTGCCTCTGCCTCCCCAGTGCTGGGATTAAAGGCGTGCACCACCACCGCCCCGCTAAGCAAGTTGAATTTTGAAGAGAGGTTTGGACTGGTGAGATGGCTCAGCTGGTAAAGTGTTTGGTGAACAAGTCCGGCAACCTGAGCTCTAACCCAGAGCCCATGTATGTAAAGGTAGAAAGAAAGAACTGACTTTACAAAGTTGTCTTCTGATCTTCAAAAATGGGTGTCCGTGTCCAGGCCTGCAATGCCCACACATCTTGCATGCACACAGACAAATAAGAAAAGAAAGAAGTTTATTTTGTTGTTACTATTCTAATCCAAGTTTGAGGGACTGAGTTTGGTGATGACCTTGTAGACTCAATCAAGTGGTAGAGGGCATCATATGTAGCACAGGGTTGTGGTTTTTTTTGTTATTTTTTTTTTTTAATTTTCTGACTTTTTTTTTTTTGAGACAGGATCTCATGTAACTTAGACTGGCTTGGACCTCCCTGTGTAAGAGTCATTATCCTTGAACTATTGTTTTCCTTTATTTACCTCCTGAGTACTGGGATTATGGGCATTTGCCACTATGCCTGGGTATGAGTACCGGCAGTTTAGTTATAAAAAGATGCGGTAGACCCTGGCCAATGAAGTTTTGTTTGTTTTGTTTTAATTAGCATAAAGAGATGCGGGTTTCATAAGGTATTTTCATATGTGTCATTGTATTTGTTAATTCCTCCCCTTCTGTCTTCCTCTATTCTCCCTCACCCTCCTATTAGTGACTTGAGTTCTTCTGGGTTTTGTTTATTGTTTTTATTCTAATTCTGTTCTATTTTTATTTTCATTGCTTTGTTTCCTTTTGTTTTGAGACAGTCTTGTATAGTCAGGCCAGTGCCTAACTTACTATGTAGAAGAATGGCCTTGAGTGATCCATGTGTCTCTTTAGAAAATTTAGTATCATAGATTATTTTTCTTTGGATAGGCTCGAATGTCTTGGGATAGAGAGTCCACTGAAATTCGGTACCGCAGACTTCAGCATTTGCTTGAAAAAAGCAATATCTACTCAAAATTTTTGTTGACTAAAATGGAACAACAGCAGTTGGAGGTATGTATATGTGATTAACTATAAATGATAGGTTAGAAACATTTGAAAATAGCTTTTTGAGATATAAATTAGGTATAGTAAAATGTAGAGATTTCAAGTTTATGGTTTAGCTTTTAAAATTAATTCTATTTTATGTGAATGGTGGCTTATGTATCTTGGATGTCTGCACCATGTGCCTCCCTGGTGCCCAAGAAGAGCAGAAGAAAGAAGACATTGGCTTTCCTGGGTGGAGTTTCAGATGCTTGTGGGCTGCTACCATTTGGATGCTGGGAATTGAACCTGGGTCCTGGAAGAGCAGCCAGTGGTCTTCATGGCTGAGCCATCTCTCTAGACCTTATTTGATGAGTTTTGATCAATGAATGTATAGACCTGTGTTATCACCAGCACAAATGAAATAATGTATATTTCCATTCCAAAATTTTTTCTTATGCCATCATCAAACCTTATGATGAATCTGTCACTGTTGATCAGTAGTGCTTTCCCAGAATGTTATATCAATGGAACCACTATATTATAGTATTATAAATATTTGGTTTGATCATTGTTTCCTATCATAATTTTTAGAGTCCCTGGGATCTTCAGAGTGGTATTTTAAGATTTATTATGTATACAGCGTTCTGCCTGCAGGCCAGAAGAGGGCACCAGATTTCAGAGGTTGTGAGCCACCGTGTAGTTGCTGGGAATTGAACTCAGAATGTCTGAAAGAGCAGCCAGTGCTCTGAATCATCCTTTCGAGTGGTATCTTTTTGTATGCTGGTGTGTTAACTAGAATTAGGGCTTGGTCACTCAACAAGCTGGAAGCAGGACTAGAAGTGTAGACATAACTCAGCTTCAAGCAAGGTTAAGTTAGTTGATGACTGTGATCAGTGCTTTAATCCTTCATGTCTACATAATGAAACTCCAAAGTGACTTGAGAGCTTCCTTTATGGGACAGTTGGAGGACCCTAGAGAATGGTGTTCTGGAGAGAGCACTGAAGCTCTCTTTGTTTTTGCTGTGCTGTTCTGGTTGTTCATCAGTATTTTTTGTAATAGACTACACATTTAAGTAAATGTTTCCCTGAGTTCTGTGAGCTGCTCTAGCAAGAGGAAGTTGTGGGAACCTCATTTTATGGTCAGAAATAAAAGTTGAACAACTTAAACATTCCATTTGGCAGCAGGGTTGAGGCGGACAGTATGGGGACCTAAGCACTCAGCCTGTAAGATCTGGTTCTCTGGGACAAAGGTATGTTGCATCAGAACTAAAATGAATCGAATTGTGATGACATTCAGCAGCGGCATATTAATTGCTTTATACAAACAAAAAGAGTGTAAGTTTTACTGATTAAGGTAGATGTTCAACAGGCAGTTGTTGAATAAAAGAATAGAGGAAACGCAGTCTTCCATTTTTCAGATTTCTTATATAATGTTTTGAACATTTAAATATTTTATTCCTGAGAAGTATCACATTTTAAAAATGACATTATTTATCCTTAGGTTACATGGAAGTATAACTGAACACTGAATTACCTATTTTTGGTTTGTTTATTCTTTGGAGACGTATCTCACTGTTTTGCAGACTGGCTGAGCAGTCAGAAGGTTCATCGCCTTTGTTTTCTCTTCAGTTCACTGTCCTTTTGAAAACTATTGTCAAATATATTGTGTCTGCTTTTAGTTTAGTGTGGCAGAAGAGGGTAAATCTGTTTCCTGAAATCTTAGAAAGCCTAGAAGTACAAGTTCTTTTTAAAATTATTAGTCTTTTTTATTATGAATACATGATGATGTAATTGTGTTATATTTTATGTCACATTTCTTAAAAAATATCTTACAGGAACAGAAGAAGAAAGAGAAGTTGGAGAAAAAAAAGCGATCATTAAAAGTTGTAGAGGTAATAATGACAAGCCAGGATTTTTCTCCTCTTGTGCTGAGGGTTGAACCCAGGGTGTTGATTATGTGGAATGATCTACCACTACTTTCCTTGGATTCCCAGGAACTGTAGTTATAGATGTTTGTGAGCATCTGTGTGACTTTGGGAAGTGAACCTAAATTCTCTGGGTAGGAGCCAGTACTTAGCAGTCGTTCTGGCCCTCTCTTCAAATCTTTTTTTTTTTTTCTTGTGGTTTTTTGTTTTTTGAGACAGGGTTTCTGTGTGTCGCTTTGGAGCCTGTCCTGGAACTCACTTTGATCTCAAACTCAAAGATCTGCCTGCCTCTGCCTCCTGGGTGCTAGGATTAAAGGTGCACACCACCACTACCTGGCTCTTCAAATCTTTTAAAAGATTTTATTATTTCTTTTTAAGTATCTTTTCATTATTATGTTTATTTGATGTGTCTGAATGTTTATGGATGTTCACATGTGTGAAGTCCCAAGGTTGTCTGTTTGGAGGTTTCCTTGGTCATTTCATGTTCATTGAAGCAGGGTCTCAGTTGAGCCTATAATTCACCAGTATGGCTAGTCTAGTTAGCCTGCTTTTTCCAGGGATCCCCTGTCTTTCTCCTTCCTTATGAGCACTGGAATTAAATGGGGGCACATGCCCACCCAGAATTTATATGAATTTTCAAATCCAAACTCCAGTTTCTTTTGAGCTATCTCCCTAACTCTTTTTTACTTAATTATTGATAGTATTTTGGTTGTATTCATCCCATTATTCTCTCCACTCACTTCCATTGACTCCCCTCTTCCTAATATGTCCTTGTTCTATGATTATGTCTTATTATGTGTATCAATGTCTGTGTTTTCTGTGTAATCACCCGTCATGCTTGTGTGATCATGGAGTCTTAGAAGAGGCATTATCTCCCCTAAGGCAGTTATGACATGATTAATGTGGGTGCTGGGAACCAAAGTGGTCCTCTGTAAGAACAGGAGATTCTATTAACCACTGAGTCATCTTTATAGCCCTTAGTACGTTTTTAATGTGTGATGCCATGCCTGGTACACACAGGCAAAAAGGATGAAATTATAAGGCTGGTCATCTGGTCTGTATAGCAAATTTGAGGCCAGTTAAATCTACATAGTAAGAATTTCTCAAAAGAAAAATAAAAGAAAGTATTAACTAAATGTCCTTAATATAAATAATATTCTAAGGTTTTAAGAGATGACTCAGGGGCTGGAGAGATGGCTCAGAGGTTAAGAGAACTGACTGCTGTTCTAGAGGTCCTGAGTTCAATTCCCAGCAACCACATGATGGCTCACACCCATCTATAATGAGATCTGGTGCCCAGAACACTATATATGTAAAATAAATAAATTAAAAAAAAAAGAGAGATGACTCAGCAGTTATTAGGGCACTGGTTGTTCTTCCAGAGGACCTGAGTTTCATAGCACCCATATGGTGGTTCTTAACTGTCTCAAATTCCAGGAGATCTGTTGATCTCTTCTGTGCTTGGGCACCATCTCGGGGTCCTGCCAAAGTTAATTGTCTGTACATAAGGGAGGAGTAAGGATTAAGAAAGAAATAGACAAGAGATAACAGAATCAGGAGGGCATCAGTGAATGCTGTGATCCACCCTAAATTTATCAAAGTTCTTATATACTCAAATCTAAAGGGGGTGGGCAAAAGACGTCTCTACCATAATACAAAGAACAAACAAATGTCGTTTCTTCATGTCTCAAAACATTAAGTAACCACACCCTAGATCAAAATATTCTTTTGTCTAGGCAAAATATTCTGTAGTCACACTTTATCTCAAGCATCTAGTCATATAACCTTGAAGAAGAAAGAATAAGTCTGAACACCTTTATGGGCTTCCACAGCATCAGGCATGCACATGGTGCACAGACATACATGTAGGCGAAACACAAAATTAAGAACAAAAATACTAACATTCTAAATCTTTATTTTATAGGGTAAAAATTTAGTTGATGCAAGCGAAGAGAACCCAGGTAAATTAACTTTGTTCCTGCTTGAAGAATGTATGTTTGCCCTTCTGTTTTTACTTGCTATAAAAAAATTACATGGTTTTGTTTTATAGTCATGAGAAAAAAAAGAGGAAGAGAAGAAGAATCGTACAACATTGCAGAGGTCATGTCAAAAGAGGTAATACTCTAAGGAGGTTACTTAATATTGGATGTTGACTAAAACCTACTGTAGGTTTTTCTTTAAAAATGTATTTACTTAACTGGACTTGGTGACAATTGCCTTTAATTCAAGCAACTGGGAGGCAATGACAGCCAGGCAGTCCAGCTTGGTCTGCATAGTTCCTAGGCCAGACAGGGCTATGTAGTGAGATCCTGTTTTAAGAAAACAAAGCTACTTAATTTAAAAAAAATTATTTTTATGGCTGTTTTGCCTGTGTATGTAATGTGTAGTGTCCTAAGAGTCAGAACAGAATATCAGATCCCCAGGAACCAGAATTACAGAAAGATTGTGAGTTACCATGTGGATGATAGGAATTGAACTTCCATGCTCTTAACCACTGAGCCATCTATCTAGCCCTAATTTTAATTTTTTTGAGTCTTAGTATATGGCTCAGGCTGACCTCTAACTTGGATTCTGCTGTCCCAGCCTCCTGAGTGCTGGGGTTACAGTATTATACAGTTATATCAGCCTTTATCATATATTTATTAGCTTAAGTGGATTTTTATAAATTAATATCAGAATTTTTTTTCAGAATTTTTTTGATAGAGAAAATAGAGCAAAGCATTCTGGTTTATAGCAATAATGTGTGGAGGCAGTGAGGGGAATATTTTGGATGAACTAGCTCTTGTAAACAAGGCTGGCCTCGAACTCACAGAGATTTGTTTGCCTCTGCCTCCCGAGTGCTGGGATTAAAGGCGTGCGCCACCACTGCCTGGCAAGAATCTTTATGTTAATCATTTTTTATTTTGAGACAGGGTCTCACTGTTTAGCCTTAACTAGCTTAGAATTTGCTATGTAGATGAAGCTGGCCTTGAACTTGCAGAGATCTACTTGTCTCTGCCTCTACAATTCTGAGATTAAAGGCATTACCACTATCAGCTCATGCTTCTTTAAAGTATTTCATCCCATGTTCTTTTCTTGGATCTCTTTCTCCCTGCCCTTTCCCCCCAAAATATTAGGGACTAAACATAGGTCCTGAGTGTCTTCATCAGCCATGCATCTCTGCATTCACTACTGTTCACTATAAAGAGATGCTTTTTTGATTAATGATGAGAGTAGTATTAGTTTACCTGGACCATATTGCTGGGGTCATAGAAGTGATAATCTTACACTATTTTTATTCTTTCCAACCTTTTAGGAAATTTTGTCAGCGGCTAAAAAGCATAAGGACAATGAGGTAAGATTTATACATTTTATTACTGTGTGTGTTCTGTGCATGATGTGTATGTGTCGTGGCACTTGTGTGGAGCTCAGAAGACAACATAGGCTTGATGGTAGGTGCCTTTTCTTCTGTGACATCTGACTGGCCCCTTTGGCATTATTTTTGATATACATTCATTTAGTTAGGGGATGTGGTTTCTCTTTATTTGTGGGTCCCAGGGATTGAACAAGTCAGATATTCCATTGTAAGGGTTGATAGTAAATGTTGAGCCATCTTACTTCTTAACTTTTTATCTATCTATCTATCTATCTATCTACCTACCCACCCACCCACCCACCCACCTACCTACCTATCTACCTATATTTTTTTTGAGGGAGAGTGTCTCTGTAACAGCCCTGGCTGTTTTGGAACTCCCTCTGTAGACCAGGCTCCCCTCAAACTCAGATCTGCTTGCTTCTGGAGTACTGGATTAAAGATGCGCACCGCCACCACCCCACTCCTTACCATTTTAAAACAGGAGTTAATGGCATCTTGCGCCTGATATTACTAGTAATTTCAGGTGAACCAGGAGGATTATGAGTTTGAGACCAGTCGGGCATTCATAGTAAGTTCAAAGCCATCCTGTGATACATAGGAGGCTGTTCCCAAACAAAGAAAAAGGGCATTTTTTTAAACCATCATTAAGTTGTTATTGAGTTTCACAAGTAGAAATATACTGACATTCCTTTTTAAAAGATTGCTTTTTTTTTTCTTCTTATTGTTTTCTTTAGTTTTTAGAATCAGTTTTTCTGTGTAGCACTAACTGTCCTGGACCTCTTTAGCCAGGCTGAGTTTGGACTCAGATCTACCTGCCTCTGCCTCCCTAGTGCTAGGATTAAAGGCATGTGCTATCCCTGCCCAACCTAAAGATTATTTTTATTTATGTGTCTATGTATGTATACGTGCATGTTGTGTGTGTGTGCGCCTCCGTGTCTCTGTGCACATGGGAAGTCAGTGCTATCAGTGGTTTCTCATGCTTGTTTTGAACTCTGGACTCCAGGCTTGCATAGTAAGTGATTTTTACCCACTGAGATCTATGCCACCAGCTTGTTAGCAGCGTTTAATATCAAACTTTTAATTAAATATTTCTCATTACAGGATGAAAGCTCTTCCACTGCTAATCTCTGTGTAGAAGATCTTCAGAAAAATAAGGATTCAAATAGTATAATTAAAGATAGATTGTCTCAAACGGTTAGGGAGAATTCTAAATCCTTTTTTGACCCAGTTCGGAAATGTAATGGACAGCCTGTACCTTTTCAACAACCAAAACACTTCACAGGAGGAGTGATGAGGTGGTACCAAGTAGAAGGCATGGAATGGCTCAGGGTAATGAATTGTTTCCTTTTTAAAAACAATTCTATTATTATTGTGTCTATGTGGGGGTTGGGGTGCACACCACAACACATGTTGATATCAGAAAATGATTTTGTGGAGTCAGTGCTCTTCCATCTTTAGGTGGAGTTTCACAGTTGAGCTTAGGTCAGCAGACTTGTACAGCAAGCACTATTTGCTAAGTTATTTTACCTTTCAGATTTTATTTATTATTTATCATTGATAATGTGTGTGTGTTTTCATGTTTTGGCTCATGTCTCTGTGCTGGGATTAAAGGCGTGTGCCTCTACTACCTGGCTTTTCTCTAATAATTTAGTAGATTATATACCACTACTCAAGTTGCTCTGTTAGTATAAAGGAAATATTTGTGTGTATTTTTTTAAAAATTTATTGTATATACAATGTGGGAGTATGCATGTGTACCTTGTACTTGTCTATTGAACAGTGCAGAATCCTGAAGATTGCATTGGGTTCCTGTGGCTGGAGTTACGGGTGGTAGGATCTGAACTCTGATCCTGTGGAAGAGAAGCAAATGGTCTTAACTGCTTAGTCATTTTTCCAGTCCTTTCTATGCATTTTCTGAGTGTTTTAACAGGAAAATGAGCTTGTCAGATCTTCAACACTATGGCTTTGATAAAGGACTTCTGTTATAATTTATTTTATTGGCCTCATAGTTTTGATTGTGTTTTTAAACAGAATCCTTTGTTGATTTAGTAAATGTTTGTATTCATATTTACATATAGTGTATTCTTTTGTCCAGATGCTTTGGGAAAATGGAATTAATGGCATTTTAGCAGATGAAATGGGTTTGGGAAAGACTGTTCAGTGCATTGCTACAATTGCATTGATGATTCAGAGGGGAGTACCTGGACCTTTTCTTGTTTGTGGCCCTTTGTCTACGCTTCCAAACTGGATGGCTGAATTCAAAAGATTTACCCCAGAAGTAAGATATATTTTCTTACATTAATATTATTGCATATATTTTTTCCTGTTTTGTTGCTTGAATTATAGATCACCCATAGTAACTTAATAGATTCCCATAAATATTGAATCTAATTTGACTTATTCAATTTGAACAGCCCTTTTCTTTGGTTTGTTTTGCTTAAAATGTCCTGGGATTATATTTGGGATTTCACAGATTTATTCATCTGAGACAGATCTACATAAAAGAATATTCTTTATTGTGTTTATTTTTCGGCTTGATTTGTTGAGACATGGTTTCACCTTTGTAGCCCAGCTGTTCTCAGAGGTTTAGTTCAATGGTTTACTGCAGTCTTGCTTCCTCGGCCTCCTGACTGCTCAGCATATCATGTTTATTCTTTTTATTTGTTATTTTTTTTCTTTTTCTTTATGGTTTTTCAAGACAGGGTTTCAGCCCTAGCTGTGTAACAGCCCTAGCTGTGCTGTCCTGGAACTAGCTCTGTAAAGCAGGCTGGCATCAAACTCACAGAGATCCACCTGCCTCTGCCTCCTGAGCGCTGGGAATTAAAGGTGTGCCCTACTATTCCTTTTATTTTTAAAATTATTTTCAAATGTATACCACATGCGTGTCTTGTGCCAGTATAGGGCATCAAATCCCCTGGAACTGTAATTAAAGACTTGTGTGCCATAATGTGGGAATTGGGGATGGAAGCCATGTCCTGGAAGAGCAGCAAGGACTGTAACTGCTAAATTGTTTCTCCGGTTTCCTTATGTTTATTCTTCCAGGCATTTTTTTTTTAACCCAAATGCATGTTATCTCCCCACTCCCTCCAATGGTATTCATTCTTGTATGTATCAGTTCCTTAAATAGTGAGTTCTGGATTGCAAAAGATTTGTTTTTGCACTTGTTTATAAGTGATTGTTTTTGTTTGTTTGGGTTTTTTTTTTGTTTGTTTGTTTTTGAGACAGGGATTTACTGTAGCTTTGGAGCCTGTCCTGGAAGTAACTAGCTCTTATAGACCAGACTGACCTTGAACTCACAGAGATCTGCCTCCCAAGTGCTGGGATTAACCACCAGCACCTAGCTTGTTTATAAGTGCTTGTTTTTAAGCACAAGTACTGCATACACATGCTATCTTGTCTATGTCCTTGCCTTGAGAATACTTGAGAAGAATATGTTCCAGAATTGACTTACTCATCTGTCTCATAAACTTTTTTGTTTTTGTGGGTTTAGGGGTGCTTTTTCCCCCCATTTTCTCTTATGTTAGCCAAATGATTTATTAAGTTGACTTATTTTGTCATAGGGAAATAGAACTAATATTATCTTCTAGAAAGTCATTTGTTCCTTATTTTTCAACTCATATTTTGTTCTGAATTAATATAATCTTATAGATTCCTACTATGTTGTATCATGGAACCCGGCAGGAACGTCGAAAATTGGTAAAGAATATCCACAAAAGACAAGGGACACTGCAGATTCATCCCGTGGTGATCACATCATTTGAAATAGCCATGAGAGACCAGAATGCTTTACAGGTACAGATAGATGGTTGTAGTTCATGACTTAGATTTTTAAATTTATGCTCTTGCCATCCATTAACACTTGTTTCATTGTGGTTGAAGTAATGTACTTTGTATTTCCTTTAGAAGCTAGAGCCTTTATAGAAAGATTGTGTTGAAAGTTGTTGTCTGTTAGAATTAGAGACTCTTGACATTTTAAACTGGCCGTTTTAAAGTATTACAATCAGCCATACATATATACATAAATCTGATCTGTAAATATGTTATAGATCAATTTGAGAACTAGTAGTTGTGATTTATTGGTTCAGTTTTATTCAACTATGACTAGAAATCTTTTTTTTTTTTGTTTTTTTGTTTTTTTTTTTTTTGTTTTGTTTTGTTTTTCGAGACAGGGTTTCTCTGTGGTTTTGGAGCCTGTCCTGGACTCTAATGTCACATGGCAAAGCACCAAGGGGAAAGCTAAACATGATTTTGATTTCAGAATGAATAAAAATATTAACAAGTGATATCAGGGGATTTTCAGTGAAGGAACATAATTGGCACTGGGTTTATGAATTTAATTATTACCATTATGACACCAGGAGAAAAGAATAATCCCAATAGATAGTAAAATGACATTTGATGGAGTTCAATAAATGTCCCTTAAAAGAAGTCTTACGTTTGGAAGTGTTTTGAGAAAAAATTATGAGATTGATTCTTAAAATTTCTTTCTTGGATTCATTTTCTAGCATTGCTATTGGAAATACTTAATAGTAGATGAAGGACACAGGATTAAGAATATGAAGTGCCGGCTAATCAGGGAGTTAAAACGGTTCAATGCTGATAACAAACTTCTTTTGACTGGTACTCCCTTGCAAAACAATTTATCAGAACTTTGGTCATTGCTAAACTTTTTGTTACCAGATGTATTTGATGACTTGAAAAGGTAAGTAAGGTAGTTACTTGTTTTCTGTTTGTTTGGTTTTTGACCTTAAAAATCTGTGTTCTTAGCTGAAACTGATTCTTTTTGGTAGCTGAATTTAAATGATATTTTAGCCAATATGTATATATATGAATATATATTTGAATATATATGAGAGAAGATAAAGATTTAAAACATTCAGGTTGATTAAGTGGAAACAAAAGAATCCCTTAAGGGACTGTGAAGATGGCTCAGCAAGTGAAGGCCACTAAATCTGAAGGCCTGAATTCAGTTCTGAAAGCCTGTACCAGGCAGTCAGTGACTTTTGCATGTTTGCTTTATGTCTCCCTTCCTGTGTTGTGTAACATGTGTACAACCCTTCCACAAATAAATAATTTTACAATACCTTAAAATGTTTTTCCTAATAAAAATAATAGTTAAACATGAGCTTTTTAATTCTAAAATGCTTTCATTTCATATGGATATTTTACAGGATAGCTCAGTCAGATGAAGAGTTTAGCTGTGTTCTTTATTTCATATAAGGAAGCCTGGTTAGAAGTTGTTAAAAAATATGACTAGTTGGCACCAGAGAAAACTTTGAAATTCCCAGTTTCAACCTAATATTTTTGTTGGTATATTTGAAATTCAAATTATATTTTCCAAAAGTTTCCAGAGAATTATTTTCAGATTAGAAAAAGATTATATTAGTAAGAAAAACCAATGTGAAATAAAGCAAAAAGATTGAGGACAAAATGTTGTAGGAAGCTGTTTGTTTGTTGGAAGCTGCTTGTTCCTCGCTGTCTAGACTCAAAATAATCACACAGAAACTGACTACCTCTACTCTGCCCTATCACAGGCCAACACATTTCTTTATTCATTAACCAATAAAAGCAACACACAACATACAAGGGACTTTCCACACCAGACAAAATAATTGAATTATATTTATGTTGGCATTAGTAAGGGAAGAAAGCTAATTGAATATGAGAAATCTGGTGTTTTATCTTGAGAATGCATTTTAAGTTTGATTGTTCAACTCTGACATAATGCCAAGCTCTTATTGTAACTATGCAAACATTTTTTTAAAGGATAAATTTAAGAGATCTATGAATTAGTTTCAAGGTGCTAATTGAAAATCTTAATTTTAAAACCATACATCGAGTTGTCTATATTTGAGAATACGTGGTCTACTATATGAATATCTGCGTTCTTTAAACTATTTCCTCCCTTCTTAACATGTGGAAGAACTAATCAATCCCCTTTTCAGCTTAATATTATAGTTATATTGAACTTAAAAACTTTGAACTACGTGTGGTGGTGCATTCCTGATATCCCTTTGCTGAGGAAGGAGGATTGAGAGTTCAAAGCCGGCCTAAGCTATGTAGCCAAAACCCAAGGGCTTAGGATATAAGTTGTTGGTATGGAAAGTCCTCTGTTCCAGTCTTAGCATCACACCTACTCTTAACATGTGTGTGTAACAACAGCCATATGCTAGATTTATACCTGTACAGAGATACCATTCAGATTTGGTTTTCAAAAAGAGCATCATCACTTATATAACTATTCTTAAGTGTTTTCATAAAATAAGTGCTTTGGACTGGAGATGTAGCTCAGTGAAAAAGTTTTGTTTAGCATATTTGAAGCCCTGGGTTCTATTCTTAGCAGGACAAAAGCAAATGAACAAGAAAGTTTTCATTCTATAATTTGTATTTGACTTGTATATGATTATCTTTTTTAGAAAAAATGTCTTCTTTCAGATTTCAGAACAATTCTCATGGAATAAAGATTTTAATTTAATTTTAAAAATTGCCTTTAATACACAAGCCAATATGAAATTGATGCTGTGTATAGTGGCATATGCCCATAATATCAGCATTTGGAAGCTGGGTGTAGTGGTGAACACTTTTAATCCCAGCAATCAGGAGGCAGAAGCAGGTGGATCTCTATGAGTTTGAGGCCAGCTTTGTCTACAAAGTGAGGTCCAGGACAGCCAGGGCTGTTGTTACACAGAGAAACCCTATCTCGAAAAACCAAAAATAAAATAAATATCAACATTTGGGGACAGGGGAGTTAAAGAAGACCAGGAGGAGTTCATGGTCAAAATTGGCAAAATAGTGAATTTGAGTTCAGCCTGGGCTAAATGAGACCCTGTGTATCTCAAAACAAACAAGTAAACACATACATACACACACACAAACAAAACAAAAAGCAAAAAAACTATAAATAAATAAGAATTAATTAAAAATATGGAACTATATATATGTATCATGTAAGTATAATTGAATTCATGTGTTAGGTTAACTTGTAATCATTTTTTTTTTCTAGCTTTGAGTCTTGGTTTGACATCACTAGCCTTTCTGAAACTGCTGAAGATATTATAGCTAAAGAGCGAGAACAGAACGTTTTACATATGCTTCACCAGGTGCCGAACCTCCTTATTCTGCTCACTTCATACTTAAAAAATAAGTAATTCTAGGGTCTTAAGCCCTGTAGTAGAGACTTGAACAATGAGTCACCTTAAATTTGATTTCTTTCCCCTACTTTGACTTGTCATATTGATTTATGGCAGAAACTCAAATAATCAGCTAAATTTCGCTGTTTTTTTCTTTTAAATATACATCTTCATTTACATTTTTTGGTTTACTATTTTATTTATCAGCTAGACAATTAAAAACTTGTAGGTTCATGCAATATTTGCCAATAATGTTTATGTGGTTTACTTCCTTTCATCGTTATTGTCTAATCCACTTGTGTTTCATGCTTCCTGAAAGCCTTATTCCATTCTACCATCCATCATACCTATGTTTACTTTAGACAAACTTTCAAAGATCTCATAGGCTTTTGAAGCATTTTGATTGTGCTCTGACAATTTTATTCAGTTTTTTAATTTTTCTATTTATGCTCATTAAAAAAAGGTGAAACAGTAGAAAATAAAAACAATCCTTTCTGGGGGCTGGAGAGAGATGGCTCAATGGTTAAGAACATTGCCTGCTCTTCCAAAGGTCCTGAGTTCAATTCTTGGCAACCATATGGTGGCTCACAACCATATGTAATGAGGTCTGGTGCCCTCTTCTGGCCTGCAGCCATACACACAGACAGAATATTATATACATAATAAATAAATAAATATTTAAAAAAATTCTTTCCAAGTCCTCATCCTTACCTGTATGTTTATTGTGTTGTTTGTTCTTCCATACCCATGTCAACTGTATATGCATTTGTGTAGGTATATTTTGTTAATTAAAACAGTTTTTCATTACAGAAGTTATTTTTACTATGCTTTAAAAGAGATTAAAGTTTTTCCTGTGTGAATATTTGGCACATTATATTTTATCTCTTACTGATTTTATTTAAAGACAGGATCTTGTTACGTAGCCCTGGCTGGCCTCACTATATAGACAGGGACTTTGTTTTGATGGATGTTATATAAGTTTTTCTTGTTTTTTTCTTGAGTGTTGGGCAGACACATCGGATTTTAATTGTGCTTTAATATCAGGTTGTCCTGCCCTTCTATAATTATATATAGTTTTTATATCAATATTTTTCCTATATTATAAATTAGCTTAAAATATCTGTTCTTAAATCTCTTCCTGTTTCCTGTTTTCATAGGAGAGATTTCTGGGTTAAAGGGCTTGTTTTTTATAAACAGACTCTTTGATCTAAATTTTATATCACCTGTTGCCTTTATTTTGGTAGTGTGTCCCAGACAAGCGTTCTACCATTGAGCCATTTCCCCACCATATTACATAGGCTCTGTAAAAACAGGCAGTTGTTCTCCAGGAAGAATTTATATATCTGCCAAAATTAAATTGAAAAAAATTAATTTAAATTAAACTAATTGGTTTTGTTTATAGAAACCTGGGATTAATCTCATTACCATACCAAAGATACTCAGATGTCTGGATTTCTTGTATTTTGTGAATTATATGTTTTAAAACCCATTTCTCAACAATGGTTTCTAATGTATGCTCCAAGTAACTTACTGGCATATATGTTGTAATTATTTTTTCTGTACATATATTTGTGTAGACTTTTTTTTCTCTTCCTTGAGACAAGGTTTTTCTGTAGATCAGGTTGGCCTCTGACTCATAATCTTCCTGCTTCTGCCACTGGAGTGCTAGATTTACAGCATGAGCAACCATAGTCAACTATTTGTGTAAGCTTGTAATGGTGTCTTTGAGTATATATGTGTTTATAAGTTATCAAGTGCTAGTCTAGTATGGGGAAATCTCAAGGAGATACTTTAGGAAGAGGAAATCTCAAGGAGATATTCAAGAGAAAGAAAGGGTTTATGTTGGCTCAGTGTTCTGGTGTGGGGAACAACAATAATTAATGCTCACTTATTTGTTTATATTTAAATTTAGATTTTAACTCCATTTCTACTGAGAAGACTGAAGTCTGATGTTGCTCTTGAAGTCCCTCCTAAGCGAGAAGTAGTTGTTTATGCACCACTTTCTAACAAACAAGAGATCTTCTATAAAGCTATTGTGAACCGCACAATTGCAAACATGTTTGGATCTTGTGAGGTAATAGTTGTTTTGAAGTAACTGTAAATGAGGTGACTTAATTTCATGACTGATTTCAGTTTTTTTGTCTCCTCACCTATTTTCAGGACTTTGTGGGTCAATAGGCTCAAAGTAGAAGGTACTTTATGTTATATAGAGTCCTCCTACACTTTAAGTGATCATCTGTGTTTCGTTTGTTTTGTGATCATTGGAAGTACTTGTTCAAACTGTGCATATCTAAATGTGCAGTAGCGTGGGTTTGATGACAAAAAGTCAGACTAATCATCATCTAGAGAATGTTCTTGGAGAGACATATTTATTATATGCAGTAATGGGTTTTATAAGGACATTTTCATTCAAGTATATCATGTACATTGACCACAATTATCCTCCTATATCCTACCAACTCCCACTCTTAGAGTTCATTTTGCAACCACAGGATCTTTGAGAATCACTTTTCTAAAGGCTTATTGATTAGGCGAACTCCCCTCAACTGTTTTTCCTTTTCTAAAGAGGTGTCAGTAACCAAGAGGATTTGAGAGTATTTGAAATTTCCATAGAACATATACCGTAGTAAAAGTTGCAATGGGGTGTATGATTATCAGGTATACATAAAAACATACTTTATTCATATTTAGAGCTTCAGCAGTTTTTAAACAGGTGGCTTTTTATGTATTCTCTTTAGAAGGAAACAATTGAGCTAAGTCCTACTGGAAGACCAAAACGGCGAAGTAGAAAATTAATAAATTACAGGGAAACAGATGAATTTCCTAGTGAATTAGAAAAACTAATAAGTCAGATACAGCCAGATGTAAAAAGAGAAAGGTAAGCTTTTAAAGACAAATTTAGGTATTTAAATTGTATTTTTTACCTTTGTCATACTTATATGCTGTGTTTTTGTAGGAGTATTGTGGCTGTTAATATCCCTATAGAATCTGAAGTTAATCTGAAGCTGCAGAATATAATGATGCTGCTTCGTAAGTGCTGCAATCATCCATATATGATTGAATACCCTATAGACCCAGTCACACAAGAGTTTAAGGTAAATATCATTTAATAATTCAGTTTTTATTTTCTGTGTTTTTATATTGAAGCAAAACATTTTTTGATAGATTAAATACTGTGCTGTTTGTTTCATTAATTTATTGATTTTTTTTTTTTTTTTTTTTTGCCTTTTTTGAGATAGGGTTTTAACTTTGTAGCCAGGGAACTCGCTCTGTACTAGTATAGGCTGGCCTAAAATGCACAAGAGATTTATGCTGTCTGTATTTGCTTGCCTGTGCTGGGATTCAAGGCATGTACCACCTTGCCTGGCTTATGTTTATATTGTAGTTATATGTGTATGCCTGTGTGTTTGTGGGTGGCTTTGTGCACATGTGCTTGAGGAGGCCAGAAGGGATCGGAACCTCTGAGACTGGAATTATAGGTGGTTATGAACAGCCTAGAAAGTGCTGGGAACTGGAAGAGTAGTAAATATTCTTTTAATTGCTAAGGGAGATCTCTAGCTACAAAGTATTTCCTTTACAAATTACTTATTACCATATGTGTGTTGTGTGTATACCACAGCACACCTATGGAAAGTCAGGACAGCTTTGTGTGTAACATTGAAGGGCTGGCTTGTTGGGATTTCTGTCCAGTTTTTATTTTTTAACTGAGACTGGCCTCAAGCCTTCTTCTATATAACTGAGCCTAACCTTGGATTTCAATCCTCCTGCTTCTGTCCCCTAAGTGCTTGGATTACGGATATGTGCCACCATACCTGGCTATACAAAGTGTTATATTTCATTGATAAGTTCACAATTAGACTTTAATAATTTAGTCAGTTACTGTTTATTTTCCCCCTTTAGAGTCTTTTTTTTTTTTCTTGGAAAGTAACTTTCAGTTTAAAACGACCAAATAGTCACTTGTCATTAAAATTGAACTATTAAGGTCCCTGGGTATTATAGCACATGCCTTTAATCACAATTCACCTACCACTTGAGAGAGAGGCACGTGAATTTCTGAGAGTCAGGCTAGTCAAGGTGACCATGTCTCAAGAAAGAAGTGAACTATTAAAATGGCAAATGATTGGTCATTATAGTAACAATTTTCTTCCTTTTTCTTGTCTACTTTTAAGATTGATGAAGAATTGGTAACAAATTCTGGGAAGTTCTTAATTTTGGATCGAATGCTGCCAGAACTTAAAAAAAGAGGTCACAAGGTTGGGTATTTCTGATAAGAATTTTAACCATTTAGTTTTTCATGAGTCAGTATAGACATTAAGATGTATTTAAATTTCAGGTGCTGGTTTTTTCACAAATGACAAGCATGTTGGACATCTTGATGGATTATTGTCATCTTAGAAACTTCACATTTAGCAGACTTGATGGGTCCATGTCTTATTCAGAAAGAGAAAAAAATGTAAGTCCATACACATGAAGTTATCTTTGTAACTTCTGTCGTCATCTTTGAATTAATATGACTAAAATCCCTGTGATAGGATCAAAGATAAGCATTTTCATTTAGTACTAATAGATCTTAGTTTTGAGTCTCATATACATGTAATTTTCTGGCACAGTCTTAGATATATAATGTCCTACTTAAGCACTACTGTAGATAATAAGGCATTGCTTTCTGATTTTTATCCCATTTTTCAACTTTTAGCATGAAAATTTTAAGTGTGTGGCAGTTAGAAGGACGTAGTTGACTACTATTATTCCATCTAGAACCTGCCATTAACCATTGCTGCTTTTTTATCATCAGAGATACATCAGTCCATTGCATCTATTCAGCAATTCCCTTATTTTTGTTGTTGTTGTTTGTTTGTTTTTTGAAATAGGGTTTCTATGTGTAGCTCTGGCTATCCTGAAACTCTGTAGACCAGACTGGCCTCAAACTCAGAGTCACCTGCCTTGGGCACCCGAGTGCTTAGAGTAGAGGCATGAGCCTGTAATGCCTGGCTAGGTTTGTTTTTTTTTTTTTTTTTTTTAAGATTTGGTGCCTGTGAATCCTAGAAGAGGTTATATAAGCTCTGGGACCTGAATCCCAGCCATTGGGAGAGAAATAAGCATTCTTACTCACTACACTATCTCCAACCTCTATTTTTAAAGCATTTCTTTGTGTTTTCTGTCATGTGGGTAACAGGGATTGACCTCTTGTTGTCAAGTTTGGAGACAAGAGCCTTTACCCTGGAGCCTTTTTGCTGGGCAATGTTTTGTGTGACATAATTGCAGTGTTTGGTCCTGGCCAGCTTTGAACTAGAGTGTGGCTCATATTGGAGCACTTAGCCTTAGCCTTCCGACTGCTGTAATTATAAGTGTGAACCACCGTGCATGACTATCTATCTGTCCTTGTGCATTTAAATTATATATTCTTCGTTGACTTTTACATGGTTTAGGATAAGAGTTACTTAACATGAAGCAAAGTATGTTATGTTTTTGAGTGACATGAGCAAAATTTTTTCCATACTATCTATCTCATTTCTTATACTGTTTCCATTATTTGTGTGTTTGTGTTGTTTTATGTATATGTTGATTGTGTGGGTTTGCACATATGCATGCACCAAGACAACAATTGAGCATAGAGCTCATTAATTAACTAGGCTCTCAGGCTGGTAAAGCCTGTCTCTGCCATTTAAATGTTTCTTTCACCAGCTCTGTCGTTAGTGACACTTTCATAGGTGCCAGGGATCTGAACTCAAATCATCTTGCAGGTACTTTACTGGCTGAGCCATCTTTTTCACTGTTTTTACTTCTTTTGTTACTGAGTATGACATATAGCTTTAACAAAATAAAAATATCATGCATAGTATAAGTGCTTGAAAAGTAAAGTTTATACATGCAGAGGTTTTATTAGTTATTATAATTGTTTCCTAGTTTTGTTGAAAAAGACAGTGGTATTTAAAATTAATGCTTTCCACCCCAGTCAGTTTTAAAGTTTTTTTTTTTTTTATTTTAATGGCTTATGTTTATGTTCCTTTTGCTTTTAGATATACAGTTTCAACATGGATCCAGATGTTTTTCTTTTCTTAGTGAGTACACGAGCTGGTGGTTTGGGCATTAATTTGACAGCGGCGGATACGGTTATCATTTATGACAGTGATTGGGTAAGAAGTATAGCAATATGCTGACTATATTTCTGTTCTGAAGTTTTTATCCTTTATTACATATATTACAATTGTATTTAAATGCCTATTTGCAGGTAGGAATTTTTCATCAAATTTTCTGCCTATAAAAATAAGATACTTTCAGAGTGAGTATTAAATAATTTTGAGGGCTGGAGAGATGGCTCAGAGGTTAAGAGCACTGACTGCTCTTCCAGAGGTCCTGAGTTCAATTCCCAGTAACCACATGGTGGCTCACAGCCATCTGTAATGAGATCTGGGGCCCTCTTCTTGCCAGTAAGCATACAGACAGACAGAACACTGTATACATAATAAATAAATCTTTAAAAAAATTTTTTTTGAAACACATTCAGTGTGTGTGTATATAAGTCAGTAAGTAAGAGAGAGAAAGACAAGTAGCTATCAGAGGATGACATACAGGAGTTAGTTCACCATGTGAATCCTGTAGCCTGAATAATAAAGTCCCAGAGACAGATATTGGGGTTCAACATACTGAGCTCTGCTTCTCTTTTAGACAGATTCAATCTTAGTCCAGGGTGACCTTGAATTCACAGAGCTCCTTCTGGCTCTGCCTCCCAAGTCCTGGGATTAAAAGAATGCACCACCACTCCTTGGCCTGTAAGGCTGACTTGTGGCTGCTTTGCTTTCTGATTTCAGGGAAGCTTTATTTATTTAAACACAAATACTATACCACTATACCTGAGGATTAAACTGAGGTGGTTAGGTTTTCCCCATTGAGCCATCTCTCTGTAACCTGTGGGAGCATTTACATAGAAATTTGTACACCTGTTCTGTATGAGTGGTAACTGATGCAGTCATTCTGGAATTTAAAGTGCATCTAAAAATCACTTCAAAGTTTATCATCATGTACTTGACTGTTTTACCAAGATTTCATAAGTTTACATTTTTATTTTTAAGTTTTTTTAAGACAAATTCTCTTTATCTCTGGCTGTCCTGGAACTCACTCAGGCTGGCCTTGAACTCAGAGATCCACCTGCCTCTGCTTCCATAGTGCTGGCCCCACAAGTTTAAGTTAATTTTAACATGATTCTGCTAACTGTACCTTTCTTTTCAACTTTAAGAATCCCCAGTCTGATCTTCAGGCCCAAGATAGATGTCATAGGATTGGTCAGACAAAGCCAGTTGTTGTATATCGCCTTGTCACTGCAAATACTATTGATCAGAAAATTGTGGAAAGAGCAGCTGCTAAGAGAAAACTGGAGAAGCTTATCATCCATAAAAGTAAATGATTTTAAACTTGTTTATAATAATTTTATTATTTTTGTGTATATGTATATTGCCTGCATGTATGTCTGTCCCCCATGTGCAAGCTTAATGCTTAGGGATACCAGACAAGGGTGTTGACTCACCTGAACCTGAAGGTATAGATGGTTGTGAGCCTCTATGTAGGTGCTGGGAACTGAAACCAGGTCCCCTGTAAAAGTAGACAGTGCTCTAAACGTGAGCCATCTCTCCTGTCCTCTAAGTGCTATTACAGGTAACATTACATGTAAGTGATGTTTTTTTTGTGTTAAGAATTTCCATTTTTGTTACTTTCTAAAGAAAATTAATACAGCTTGATGACACAGGATTTAAATGTGCGATAGGGGATTTGGAGCTGCTGACAGCATACATTGAGTTGCTGTTCATAGACAGAGACTCAGGGATTAGATAACTATTAAGGGAAAGGGTCAAGAATAATGAACCTTTGGGAGTTCATTGGTATAATGTCCTCAAATCTGTCATATAAAACTTAACATAATGCTTTGCATTTGTTTACCAAAACCTTTAAAACTTAAGACCTTTCAAGATAATGAATATTAGATGCCAATGGTATTTCATAATAGTAATATCAAATTCCATTTAATGTAGCATATATTCTTTGGAAGGGGAAAATGAGTGAGGAGCTTAATGTCTTATTTCCCAAGGTTTCTAGGGATACTTTTTTTTTTTTTTTGGAGTGTTTCAAGACAGTGTTTCTCTGTGTATCCCTGACTGACTGTGCTGGAATTCACTTATATGTACCAGGCTTAAACTAAGAGATCTACCTGCCTCTGCCTCTCAAGTGCTAGGAAAGATTAAAGGTGTGTACCACCACTGTCTGTCCAAGGATAGTTCTATTTTTACTCATGTAACATAAAATTTTATTAAGTAGTACAGTGGCTACCTAAGGAAAAATTGAGCTTAGGATTTCAATTTTTTATAATAGTTTTCTGCCTGCACATACTGGCTCATTGCTATTTTTTAACTTCATAGTCTTTATTATTTTGTGTTTATGTATAGTTGTATATATATGGGTGTATGCACTCACAAGTATAGTGGTCAGAGGATAATTTTAGAATTGTTTCTGTCCTACCTTTACATGGGTTTCAGGCATTTAATTCAGATCATCAAACTTGTTGGCCTTCATACCTGGTTTTGATGGAAAAGCAGGTTAGATTTGAGATAAAATTAATTTGACTTGGTAGAAAATTTAGGCTGTAGTTAAAAATTTCAGAGTGAGTAAAATGAGCCTTGTCTTTCAAAAATTTTTAACCTGTGTTAAGAAATCTGATAAAATTATAATTATTAAATGTTGAACCTAGTTTTAGTTTACATAAATTTTATCTATGATTATGTATTCTTAAGTCTGTTTGTAGTATTTGAAGATACTAATTTTAAAATATTAAGGAATATAAAAATACAGACTTATTGAAATGCAGTATATACATATGATAAAATACATAAATGTTAAGTGTGCAATTTAATGATTGTGACAAACATACAACTCCAGAAAGTTCATTGTATCCTTTTCAGTCATTCCCCATGCTTCTTTGACGCATACTGTTTTGGTTTTGGGCACAGTGTGACAAAATAAATAGTTTTCCACTGTTTAGCTGTGCTGTTTTTCTGTTTTGTTATATTTTGAGATTCATCTGTATGTTATATATTAGAGCAATTTTATTAAACTCAGTAGTTCATTTACTTGTTGATGGACATTTGAAATACTCTCAGATTGTGTTTATTATGAATAAGCTGTTTGAATCATTGTTTATATGTTATAGTTTTTATAGAGGGGCTGTGTTTATCTGTTTGTAAATATCAAACCTTTTCTAAATTTCCAAAAAAATTTGTACTTCCAGCAAGAACTAAGGGGTTTTCCCATTGTTCTTCTTTTATGACAGTCTGAAAAAAAAAATCTCTTGAAAGTTATCGGCCCGTGAATGAAATGGCACAAAACATAATTCGTAAATGTTAAATTTTCTTTCAAATTGTAAGCCTCGTTCCTGGTTTGTAATAGATTGTAGCTTTCAAAGAAATTTATAGTATGAATTTGTTGATTTGTTTGTTTTGATTTTATTTCCCTTTCCAGATCATTTCAAAGGTGGTCAGTCTGGGTTAAGTCAATCTAAGAATTTCTTAGATCCTAAGGAATTAATGGAATTATTAAAATCTAGAGATTATGAAAGGTAAGTTTTCTCTAAATTTTATAATATATATAGCTAGGTATATAGGGAAGGAGAGAAAGAGAATTCTTTTGCCAGTGGGCCTGTGTGGAGGTCAAAGCACAACTTGGTTCTCTTCTTTCGCAATTTGGGTCTTGGGGGTTAAGCTTAGGTCATCAGGTTTGGTGGCAAGCACCTTCACCCACTAAGTCATTGTGTTGGGCCAAAATTTTTTAACTTTTTATTTAATCTGTACAGATGTTTTTCTTGAATGTATATCTACAGTATGTGTATACACAGAAGCAAGAAGAGGGCATTGGATCCCCTGGAACTAGAGTTAAATGTTGACAGTTATTAGCTACATGGTGGGTGCTGTGAATGGTACACAGGTCCTCTGGAAGATCATTCAGTACTCTTAACCTCTGAGTTACCTGTCTAATCTGTAACATTTCTTGTTCCACCCCTACCCTTTTAAAGATTTATTTATATATCATGTAGATAAGTGTTCTACTTGCATGTATGATGTGAGCTACCATGTGGTTGTTGGGAATTGAACTTAGGACCTCTGGAAGATCAGTCAGTTCTCTTAACCTCTGACCCATTTCTCCAGCTCCTCCAGCATTTCTTAATTTAGAAAAATGTAATGCATAGTTCTGAGTATAGTCTGATAATATTTGGATCTTGTTTTTATAGGGAAGTAAAAGGATCAAGAGAGAAGGTCATTAGTGATGAAGACCTAGAATTGTTATTAGATCGAAGTGATCTCATAGGTGAGTATTGGTCTTTTTCGTAATGAAAACTTTAAAACATACAGAAAATAGTGTAATGAAGCCTTTGTGTAGTACGTTCAGCCATAATTGTTCACAACATTTTATAGACAGAGACTGTGCTTTCATTTCCCAGCTTCCCAGACCCAAAAAAATCACACAGAAACTACATTATTTACAATACTGTTTGGCCAATGGCTCAGGCGTATTCCTAGCTAGCTCTTACATCTTAAATTAACCCTTTTCTATTAATCTGTGTATTGCCATGAGGCTGTGGTTTACCAGTACAGCATTTTACTCCTTGGGCAACTACATGACCTCTTCTGTTGTAGGGAGGCCACTTGTTTGTTCCTAGCTGCCCAGACTCCCAAAGTAACCACACAGAAATTGTATTAATTAAATCACTGCTGGGCCTATTAGCTCTAGCTTCTTGTTCTATTAGCTCTTACATCTTAATTTAACCCATTTCTATTAATCTGTGTATTGCCATGTGGCTGTGACTTACCAGCAAGGTTCAGGCTTGCCTGCTCCCAGTGGCAGCTACATGACATCTCTTGACCCCACCTTCTTTCTCCCAGCATTCAGTTTAGTTTTCCCCTACCTACCTCTATTCTGCCCTCCTATAGGTCCAAAGCAGTTTATTCATTAACCAATAAAAGCAACACATGTTCAGTCTCCTTCAACTCTGTGTATTCTCTCTGTGTCTCTGTTCAGATTTCCCACATTAACATTTAGTAAGTCCTGTTCCTTGCTGTTTCTCTTTTGTTAAAGACTTAAAAATCAAACATCTGTCTTGAAATTATAACCATGAGTACTTCTACATATTAAACTGATCTGTCCCCTCTCACAATAAAGATCTTTAAATACTTTATTTTACTTGTATATATATTTTTCCTATGTGTTTCTGTGCACTACTTGCATGCTTGGTATCCACAAAGGGCAGAAAAGGGTTTTGGATTCCCTGGAACTGGATTTACAGGCAGTTGTGAGCCACCATGTGAGTGTTGGGAATTGAGCCAGGGTCCTGGAAGAACATACTTAATCACTGAGCCATCTCTCTAGCCTGAAAGGCTTTTGTAGCTTGAGTAATAAAAGCCCAGAGACAGATACTGGAGTTCAAGCTAAAGATCAGAAAAGCAAAGTGGCTCTTATCTCAGCCACAGATTGAAATGGGTGATTCTGCCTACATGAATACTCAGACTGAGACTGTGACTGACCGTGAGCTCTGCCACCTCCATTTTATATACCTCTCTAGTGCTGGGATTAAGGGTGTCCACCACCACCACCCAGCCTCTGTGACTAACTAGTGTGGCTGCTGGGATTAAAGGGGTGTGCCACCACTGTGTGGTCTGTATGCCTGACTAGTGTGGCTACTTTGCATTCTGATCTTCAGACAAGCTTTATTTACTAAAACACAAATAATATACCACCATAGTTTTTCTTTTTTTTTTTTTTAAAAAACAATTCTTGTGAATTATTGACTAGCTTTTAAAACTTAAATTAACCCATAGTTCTTGACTGTGTTTAGCCATGTGGCTTGTACCTCCCCTCAGTGCAGGATTCTCATTTTGCTTCCTTTGCATCTGGCTGGTGACTGTCCGAGCCTTTCCTCTTCCCAGAATTCTCCTAGTCTGCTTGCCTTGCTCATACTTCCCGCCTGGCTACTGGCCAATCAGCATTTTATTAAACCAATATGAGCGACAAATCTTTACAGTTTACAGTATACAAGAGCATTTCCCACAGCATACATGCGCCTGTAACCTTCATTATGAGAGGTCAGGGGCAAGGATGGAGAATTGTTCAGGCTTGTTGGATTCCCACTAGTTCCAGATTCAATGATAGACCTTGTCTCGGGAATAAAGGGAAGAATGATAGAGAGGACACCTGGCATCCTCCTGACTTTGTTCTTAGGTTTGTACACACAGAGATATATATACATTGAGGGATGTTTGTGTGTGTGTAGCACACATATAGAGCTCACTTTGAAAAATATTTTTGTTATATTAATGCTAAACAATTCTGTGAAACATGATACAAATTTGTTCTGGTTCTAAGATGGAAGTAGTTTTTCATGGTATTTTCCTTCTCTGATTTAAAAAAAAGTTTTGTTTTTTTAATTTTATTTTTATGAGTGTTTTGCCTGCTTGTATGTCTATGGCAGGTACATCCCTGGTTCCTGTAGAGGTCAGAAAAGGGTGTCATATCTTGGAATTGGAGTTATGGATGATTGTGAAATGACATGTATGTGTTAAAACTCTGCAAGAGCTAAGCATTTCTCTAGCCCTCTTTGTCAGCTTTCAAACTAAGCATGATTGTCTCCAGCTCCATTATTAGCAATGGAGCTGGAGAGATGGCAGAGCGCTTAGAGGAAGCAAGTTCAGTTCCCAGCACCCACATGGCAGCTAACACCTATCTGTAACTCCAAGATTTGACACCCTTATACAGACACACATGCAGGCAAAACACCACTGAAAGAAAAGTAAAAATAAAATTTAAAAAATTGAGAAAATAACCAAATAAGTTTTGTTTATATAACCTTGTATATATAGATTTGGACCAGCAAAATGAGGCTTCATATTATTTCCTCTGTGCTGTTTGAAGCTGTCATAAAGACAGTGTTACAGGGAGTTCTATGGGTAAAAGCAAGAATATCCCACATTTCTATGGATTTTTTATATTTTGGAGAGAGGACTTGTGTTTCAGCATCATATTAGAAAGTTCTTAAATGATTTTTAAAAAATTTTATTAAGTCTTTAAAAATGTATGCATCCTAATATTTCTCTCTTAGATCAAATGAAGGCCTCAAGACCCATTAAAGAGAAAACAGGGATATTCAAGATACTAGAAAATTCTGAAGATTCCAGTGCAGAATGTTTGTTTTAAAGCAGCGCTAAATGGTTTTTAAAAACTTTTGCATCCATCCTGGTAACTTGCCTACTGGCTTTGGATTTTATAAGTTTATATAATGTAACTAGTATTGTTACATACTTGAAGTGCTAATTTTCTGAGATTTATTAAGTACAAATTTCTTATTAAATTTAGATTTTTTAGGTAGTTTTTGGGACTGGGTTGTACTTTTGAGTATGGTCTTTGAATATTGTCTAATATATACTTAACTGTTGACAAGTTTATACAGTCTTCCTGTGGAAGTTTAGTGTCTCCCCCAACCCCTTTAGTTATGTAATTCATGGTATTTGGACTTCAGTTATGGAGCAGGGTTTTGATGGGGGAGATTGATTGAAATTGTACTTTCTGTTGCTGAAGTAAATTGTTGATTTTGAGTCCGTAAGATGACTTACCAAATAAAAGTTTATTATAATATGATCTTATCACATTATTTTGCCAGGAAACTAGTAATTTAGTTAAAATAATAACAAGGCTTAACTGATACTGGGATTCAATGGTATTGGCTGAACTGACTTAATTCTTTTATAAGGACCGTCATAAAACAATTTCAGCAAAGCTCAAAGGCATTCTAAGGTCTTGATAAAAATCCAGATTTTGGGAAAGATAACATTGTTCAAAGCAAGAATAGGAATCAAAAGGAAAAACCAAGAGAATTTATAGAAATAGAGTGCAGATACAACTAGAGTGAAGAAAAGACCTCAGTGTGTAAGAAACGTAGCCAAAGTAAGGGTCATACCAGCCTCAAAGAAAACAATCTAGGCTCTGGGTGGAAGTTTATAAGACAGTGAACAAGAAATCTTGTGTATACCCTGCCTAGGAGGACATGTTCAACAAGCTGTGTATTTACTTTCTTTTTTAAAATTTGTGTGTGTGTGTGTGTGGTTGTTATTAGATCTTTGAACCTTCTGGCATTTGTACTGAGAAATAAACAGGTTTTCTGGAAGAGCAATAACCATCCAACTGAAGAGTTGCTTTTCAAGCCCCAGATCATATATTTATTGATTGTCCTTTGGGAAAACGTTATATGTATCTATATTCAAATGAAAGGACTTTAGAATAATGGAAATAAAAGAAGAAAAACTTTTTGAAAAAGCATTTGATCAAATAAGAGACCTTTAGGTTAAATAAGACCTGCAGGTGTTTTTGTCTTAATAGTAGTGATTTTCAACAGTCATAAAAGTAGGTAGAGTTGTCCTGCATGGAATTAATCACAACTTGGTGAGTTGCCTAAAAGTTGTAAAAACCTTTGTACTGTTATTTCTTCAAAAAAAAAAAATGTTTTCTTTGGTTCAGAGGTCAATGAACAACTTTCAGGAGTCAACTTTCTCCACCTTTTATGTAGAATCTGGAAATCAAACTTGGTACTCAAGGCTTTTATCCCACTGAGCTGTCTTGCCAGCACCTGTAGCATCTTAAAAATGTGAATATTTTATAGCTTTACTTCTATTCTTAACAGGTTTTATTTAGTACCTCCTTCCTCTCACCCTACCTCACCCTACTCCCTATTACATTGAGAAAATAGAAACAGGACTGGAGAAGTAGGTGGCTCACAAATATCCCTAACTCCAGTTCCAGGGGATCTGATGCTCTCTACTGATCTCTTTGGGCTTGCATTTGATGTAGAGACATATACAAGCAAGCAAAACATTGATATAAATAAATTTGAAAAAATAAAATGGACCAGAGGCAGAAGCAGGTGGATCTCTGAGTTTGAGATTGTCCTTCATGAAGATCTTGGAGCACTGTGATATGATCTTTTTCTCATTACCAATAAACAGTACAGTTTTACAGAATATACACGTATGGCATGATTTTATGACTAGTGAATATTGTAGATAAAGTTTTCAGCTCTGGTTTCTAAAGTATTAAATCTTGTTTAATGCAATCATTAAAAAAAAAAAAAAATTGACTGGGACTAGATTCTCAGCACCCAGTTGACAGCCCACAATTACAAGTGATCTGATGCCCCCTTGGCCTCTGCAGACATCAGGCATGCACATCATAGACAAACTTAACATGTAGGCATAATGTCTATACATGTAAAGGGCAGGCATTATTTGGGGCTTTCATTAATTTCAGAATGGTTATGAGGTCAAATGTCTGAAAACTGCTAATGTGTAGGGTGTGCTACCTCCAATAACTTATTTTTTCACTTTTAAGACCTGCCCATATTGCTATACACTTAGTTCTTCAGTGTATGTCCATATTTTACCTACTGCTGTATTGCTTTTCATAATTTCTTTGTGAATTTTCACTTTGTTAGTGTTTCACAACCTTTCTGATTTGGGCCATTCTGATTATTATAAAGTACCATCTTGTTTAAATTTTGCTTCTTCTTAGTTTTTATTTTTGTCAGTTTTGCTATAGTTTTACATGTATAATATATGCAAGAATCAGTTTCAAGGTTTATTTAATCATATTTCATTGTTTTATATATTCATTTTTTTGTTTAAGCTGTATTATGTAATTGAAATATCTTAGTATTTTAAAAACGTTATTTCTCTATTCCTTTAGATATATTTCATAACTTTCTTGGTTATATTTTCACTGTTATTTATCTGTTTCCTAAATCTTTATGATTTCCTTGTTAACTCAAGGATATTTTAGATATTTATGTTGTAGGTGTTTTTTTTTTTTTTTTTTTTTTTTGAGACAGGGTTTCTCCTGGCACTCACTCTGTATACTAGGCTGGCCTCAAACTGGCTCCCAAGTTCCCAGTGCTGGGATTAAAGGCATGCACCACTGCTCGACTGGCATATTACTTTTAAAAGTTAACTCTTGCCGGGCGGTGGTGGCGCACGCCTTTAATCCCAGCACTCGGGAGGCAGAGGCAGGCGGATCTCTGTGAGTTCGAGACCAGCCTGGTCTACAAGAGCTAGTTCCAGGACAGGCTCTAAAACCACAGAGAAACCCTGTCTCGGAAAAAAATAAAATAAAAAAAAAATAAAGTTAGCTCTTGTTGCTTTTTGCCTACATTGCATTATTTTCAGAAAACATGATTTGTATGATGTTTGGTGTTTTTTTTTTTTTTTTGCTTGCTTGTTTCTTTTGCTTTTCTGAGACAGGTCTCCTGTAGCCTGGTCTGGCTTCAGATCCATTTTGTATCGAAGGACGACCTTGACCTACTGATCTTTCTGCCTCCACCCTTCAAGTGCAGGCATTGCAAGTTTGCACCATCACACAAGTGTATGATCTTCAGTTTTTAGAAGATACTTTGTGGCCCAATATGGGATTAATTGGTTTGTGAATGTCTTCATTTATACTTGGAAGGAGTATACATTTTTTGATTGTTGCTTTATAAATTATTTTCTTTAATAAATATCTATAAATCTATACTTGTTTAATTTGTAAACTTATTTCCTAAGTTATGGGTGGGAGAGATAGTTGAGCAGTTAAGAGCACTGGCCGTTCTTCTAGAGAACACAGGTTCAATTCTCTGCACCCACATGGCAGCTCACAACTGTAACTGTAGTTGCGCCTTCACAAAGAAATCCATGTAGGCAAAACAGCAATGCACTTAAAATAAGAGCACATCTTTAAAAAAATTTTAAAGTTCTAAATTAAATCAGTTTTCTGTAGAACTATGCTGTTTGGGTGCTGGAGAGATGGGTCAGAGGTTAAGAGCACTGGCTACTCTTCCAGAGGTTCTAAGTTTAATTCTCAGCAACCACATGGCGGGTTCTGATGCCGTCTTCTGTCATAAAAGTGTATATGCAGATAGAGTACTTGTATACATAAGATAATTTTTTTAAAAAAAGGAATTACATTGTTAGGTGCCTGGCAGTGGCACCTAACTTCTTCCCTCCCTCCCTCCCTCCCTCCCTCCCTCCCTCCCTCCCTCCCTCCCTCCCTTCCGAACCCTAGTATTTGATTTTACCTTGGTCTCAGGACTGTCTAGCTTCAGGTACTTGGTGTCAGCAATGGGTTACATCTTTTGGAGTGGGCCTTAAGTCGAATCAGATTGGTTGTTTACTCTCACAAGCTTCATGCCACCATTGCACTAGTGTACCTTGCAAGCTGGACACCATGGTAGGTCAGAAGGTTTGTTACTGGGTTGGTGTTTACATTTCTCCTTTGGCAGTGTGCTAAGTACCTTCCTGTGCCAAAGACAGATTGCAATTCCAGTTGTAAACTTGGTAAAGGAATCTAATTATCTCACTCTGTATGCTTAGAGGGTATTGACTGATGCCATCTTGAGGAGATAACCTATTATTTAAAAGTGAGGTGCCTTGGGGCCCTGAGAATAGGGATGGGATGAATTTAACCTGGCACAGGGCCAGAGTGAAAGTGAGCCTAGGGACAGTGAGTGGGAGAATGAGGCCCAAAGGTTGCAAAGTTCAGGTAGCAGGAGACTTGTGTAAGTAGTGCTGTGGGGAGGAGGTGCTAGGGTAGTTTGGTAGCCCCGAGACTGAGGTAGCCTCAAGCCCTCATGTAACTGAGGCCAATACTTCTGGTACTCCTGTCTGCACTTCCTAAGTGCTGGGATTATATGAATATATTACCATGCTTGTTTCTTTGTGGTGGTGTGGTTTCCTTTGGGATTAAAACTGGGGTTTTGTATGTGTTACGCAAGCACTATGCCAAGGGAACTGCATGTTTTTATTTTTATTCTTTTTACATTTCTCTAATTAAAAATATTTTTATTACAATTATTACATTTATTTTGTGTATATGTGTGCATGTTCCTACTTTTCACATCATTTCTATTTCTTAACATTAAAAAAATGTTTCTATTTTCTCATGCGCCATTATAACAAAAATAGCTGGATTCTTACTTGTCTCCTCTCATAGACTTAGAACTCTACATTTATCTGCCCGTAATGTTCTGGGGGCATGAAATAACTCCTTATGTTTCCATGACTACCAAGGCATTTTTATAATTAGATGCGGCAAGCTTTGGCTCTCCAGCTTAGTCTACCTGCTGAATAAAAGTCCTCCCTTGTCTTCAATCTCTTGTAAGATGCCACTGTGCCAGCAGAGATCACTGCCTATAATTCAAGGTTGCTAAGAAAATCCCTTGGCACTAATTGTCTGAATAGCAATGATAAGAGACTATAACTGGTGTTGTCACCACTGTGAAAACAATGTAGGTTAGTGTGACATCGCTGCCTACTATTAACACTGGATGCCTTAACCGGTAAATCTCCCCATGTTCACATTTATTACCACATTGTCACTACCTAAGATTGTCCCTTTAGGCTAAAGAATCTCTTGCTGTCTGACTCTTTTTTTGAGATATGTTCTCATTGTGCAGCCCTGACTGGCCTGGAACTCTGTGTTGACTGGAAGTCTTGAGAGATCTCATTTCACTCTACCTCCTAAGTGCTGGGGTTAAAGGCATGCACCATCATGCCTGGCATCTCTTGCCTTCTAGATATCTAAAATAAAAATAAAAATCATTTGTCTCTACAGTATTC